CAAATATCATGTCAAACAGTCCTTGAGGAGCTATGGCTCATAAGTTAAGGAGGGGTGACTTCTAACCAGTAGGTTACGAGTTTGAAACCCGCTCCACCTACCGAAGTTTGGCGAGCCAGATAGTATCACTAACCGTAAAACAATAAGGGTAAACTAGTAGACATCAAACAAACCAAAAAAACACCAGTAAAGTGATTGCACATTTAAGAGTAATTCCAAAAAAGACGACAAAGGATGACTTTTCTATTATCGATCGTGCTGCCTTGTATCATAGTCGCTTACATGTTTAATGTTCAATAGTTGAACGTACATGATTCAGATCCAGTAGTCTAACTAATTATTACTCATTCACCATATCACCCAGAAGAATCAATAATTCGTTTGGCTTGGCAAAAAACATTCGTCATGCTAATGAGATTGTGCGAATTTGACCTTTTGAATCATAATTGTAGTTATCACCATGACATATTGAACATTGATAAATTATGGCAACAAGCTCAAAATTAACTTAGACATAGGATGTGTTTGAAGAATCACGTGCAACGTTGTTCAATAATCAAGTTCGTTATCGATTTTTATGCGATTATTTGATGAAAACAGAAGTTAAAACTATTGGAATATTGAGTAGCGACGACAACGAAAATAACAGTAAAACAAATCAAACAGCAAACATAAAAATGAGCAACGAAAAAAAAATTTAGTGCATGATGATCCGTATTTTGTATCTGAAACTAGGTGATATGCATATAATAATGAGAGATAGTGACTATCAGTATAATCCAGGATGTGCGTTTCCTCCAATTCAGGACTCACCAACTGCATGTACCTGCATCTCAGTGAGCAATGGTGTTTCCACTAAGACTCAAACCCTGGACAGATCGGTTCAAACTTCAGCGGGTTATCCACTAGGCCATTAGGCACAGGAGCCCATATGCCAATATAGATACCGATCAATTCGGTCCAACCAACGACATCATGATTGGGGACATATATACAGTTTTGAAAGAAGTTAACACAACACACCTTATTTTTGTGTTTTTTGTTTTTGATGATTCATTTAAATTTGTGAGTCATCTTAATGGCCACCTTAACAGCTGCTGAACTGACCAATCACTTTCTTGTATTTTATGGAAAACTAGCTTTACAGCGGAATACGGGAACCTGATTGGCTACATAAGCAATTGGCTACGGCGGCCTTTAAAGTCACTTGAATTTGTGAATGACTTCAAAGGCCACCCTAACAACTGCTGAACTGACCAATTAGCCTTTGGTATTCCGCCTCAAAAAGTACTTTTGCGCAAAATAGAGAAATGTAATTGGCTGTCTCATCAGTTGCGAGGATGGCCTTTAAAGTCACCCGAATTTGTAGATAGATATGGGTGAAATACTCACCAATATGAATCGACACAAAGTCAGCAGCAGTATAACACCATTCAGCCTTATGACCACAATAAACAGTCATTAAATTAACTAAGAGGCAGAACCACTGGTTTATTGTTGTCACAACTAACTCTAAGGCTATTCTTTTGCCACCTACTAACCTGCTTAGTCTCTGTGATTAACTCTGGTGTCTGAAGGTCAGATAATGGTTGTTCTACCTTGGTTGTGGCTTTTTTTACAGGTGTAACTCTTTATTAGACCAGCGACAAACATGGTGTGTGTTGAAAGCATACATACACACAGTTAGTAGTTCAGCTGTCTAGTTTTTTGATATTCAATCGGTTAGAATAGTCACTATTTAATCATAATGAGTCAATATTATTTAAGTCGGGAGTTAAGATTCATACTCCATTACCTAGTCTAGAAAGTAGTTGACAGTATTCTTACCTTTTCACACTCATATGTACGAGTTGGAAAAGTAGGAAGTGAAGTTTCAGCTGCGTGCTGAGTCCTGGTTTTGCGTATGTGTGTACTAAATAACTAGGACATCACTCACAAGTATTACCACAAAAATCATACCCGCCGCGAAAGGAGTGGATATCGTGACTCGGTAAGCTAGCAGATAACACTGGTAATTGAAGTAATGAGTTCTCGATTCAAGTCCCAGCAAGAACAATATCACTCAATGAGATACAGGTGGATTTTGTTGATGAGTCCCAAATAAGATGAGACGGGCGTGCTGGACTGCAGTGCTAACCACTTTTCATCTTTATTATCAAAGTGAATCTACTGGCATTATCAAGGCGTCCGTGTATGAACACCCGTATACCAACAGTGTCCGATCGATTTGATCCAATCAAAAACAATAAATAACAACAGGATATGACTTAGTCTTTCATTTCAAAGGATAACAGTCAGTTAGAAGTGGAAACCTAATAGCAATTACTTCATATTGAATGGATTCATTATATAGTTACACTTAACGCTTTAGAAATTATGACCTGGAGTACAAACGGGTGTGTTGACCAAGGAAACACGAAGACCATCGTGGTAGAATAATAATAATAATAATAATAATAATAATAATAATAATAATAATAATAATAATAATAATAACAATAATACACTTTGTTTCAAACAATTTGTGGTACAATTTGGAATTCTCAGCTTAATGTATATTGCAATAACAACAAAATATATCTGTATATACATACTACTTTGAAGCCTTTCGAATCGTTTTATTATAAAAATTTAAGTTATGTGATAAATATTAAAAACGAGAAAATTTTGCATTGTAAGTTAAATGATTGAAATGAGAATTTTAACTGTCACAAAGTTGATGTGTGATTTCTGTTCTAACACTTTTTTTCTCACAAAATATACGTGCGAGGTAAGGTACAGTCAGGTTCTTGTACTTGGCTGTACGAGCATACAGTCTTATGTAGTTTCTCCTTGTCCTCCCTGAGGAGATACATGGAGAGGACTGTAAATGAAGTGGATGCTCACTGTCAGTTAACATTTCTGTAGCTAGTTGCTTGCAGGAATGCATACGTCGATCAACTACAGTGTTAATCAGTTGAGCCAGAGACACACCACTCACCCTGTTGACGGTCTTCAAAGCCCTACGCAACATAACATAGTCCTTTTTAAGAAGACCAGGAAAGATTAATGGGGAACAACAGAGAGGAGGAATAGGTAAAATGCAGGAATTAATAAATTGTAAAAGAAGCAGTTGAGTTATACCAGAAAGCCTTAATTTCTTTACGTAATAAGTTAAACGAAAGATTGTTTTACAAGTCAATAAAATGTGGGATGACCAACAAAGGTCAGAAGTAAAACGCAACCCAAGATAGTTCACACTCCATTTACTTTCTGCAGAAATACCATTGATGCAGCAGGCGTCATCAGATTTAAGCAGCTCACATAAGTCTTGTTTAAGCCTGAGGCTGAAATTAACGGTCTGACATTTAGAAGGGTTTAGTCTGAGACCATCTGAGAGAGACCACTTACCAACTTCAGACAAGAATTCATTTGATTTCGAGCAATCCAAAGAAGAGTTTACTGGCATAGAAACCATCAGGTCATCAGCATACTTGGTAAAATTAGTTTCAACAGAATAAGGCAAATCGTGCGAAAAAAACGAAAACAGAAAAGGAGAAAGTACAGCACTTTGAGGCACACCAGCTTCAGTAAGCAATGAAGTGGAGCGCATTCCTTTATAAATAGTGCACTGTTTCCTTTCAGAAAAATAAGAATGCAACCATTTTGTAACCCATGGATCAGTGTGAGCTATGGCAAGCTTATTTAACAAAAGTGGTCTAGGAACAGAGTCAAAGGCTGATGAGTAATCCAAAAAGGCACAACGGACATATCAATGCAAACCAGAAACGGTGAATTAATGGTTACCAGATGAGTATCTACAATGAAATTCGGTACGATTGCCAGGTGACTTGTGAATAAAAATGTGTTAGCTCTTGACTAAATGATTTTTATCGACTCAAAGGCTTCATTTTGGTCAGCTATACTTTTCCCAACTAAGCTCAATTCAATAGCCATCGATTGGATAAGTCGGTGTAGGTTTATCGCCACACCTACACTAAGCATTTTCTTGTTTGAACCTATTCTTTGATCTTACATGCAAAAAGACTGAACTTAACTGCATAGAACAAAACAATATTTACTACTTCCTCAGGTAACTGGGAGCCAGGAATCAGTGTCTAACTCATATAATACCCATTTTAATGGAACTAAGCAATGATGACAGATACTAAAGCTGAGAAAGTGTAACTGTTATTCATTATGGCAACTATTCATGACAAAAAACAATAGTGAAAAAAGTATGCTACGTTGTTTACATAAACCTATTTTACGCAAGCTGAAACATGTTTATTATCTTCTCAGGATCATAAAGACAAAGACCCTGGAATATCAAAATAGCATTCTTTTAGGTTGGAATTCATTATGGACTGATATTAGTTGGAGGAACACTGGAAACCTGAGAGCACTGGACAGCTGTTTCGTCCTAGCATGCAACACCTTATCAGTGCGCATTCATGACCTTGCTCCATCAGGGGTCGAGTCCAGGACCTTCATGCCCCGTGGTCAGTAACGTTACCGTTAGGCCACCGGGTCAGAATCCAACAGTCCATATTTCCAACTTCTGTCAGTTCATTACATAGCGTGACCATCACCCGATGTCATCGTTGAATAGTTGTTCTCACGGCCATCAGGTTTGCTCCACCGGCCACAACTTCTCATTGGAGCCTCAGGAATGACCTTTCGAAGGTAGTCACTAATGAGCACTAGATTAATTTAACTTAGGAAAGCTTCCTAACCTGAATCTATTAGCTATCATACATAGGTATACAAGTAATTCATCTTCAGGTTGGCATTCATCACGGACTGATATCAGTTTGACCCCTGGTGGTGTCATAGGTATACAATGCTGAGGAGTCCTATACTAAGAAGAAACAGCTGGCCAGTGCTCCCTGGTTTCCAATGTTCCTCCAACTGATATCAGTCCATGATGAATTTCAACCTAAAATCAATTAGTAAACCTCCACAAACCTCCAGATAGCATTCTTGTTTTATTGACATGGACACAAAACACTATTGCATACCTTCTCATCACGAATATCATCTGCATTGACAGAAACAGGTTTTTCCATTGCCACCAATGAAAGGATTTGGATAAGGTGATTTTGAACAACATCACTAGATGAAAAAGAATACCAATGATAAAAGTAAAATATGCATCCTTGCTTAAAAATCTAATACAATAGAATATTTACTTAAAGATATGAAGGCAACTCAGAAAGGATTTCGATGATACTGCGACGTGTACTACTCATAAGAAAATAAGTAGTAAGTAATGTGGCATTGCTAGGCAGAACAACTATGGTATAAGGGTTTTTATATGATACCGTCGTAGATTGGACCGAATTGATCGGTCTGTATTAGCATATGGGCTCGTGTGCGGATGCCTGGATATTGCCAGCAATATGATTATGTTAAGGTTGGATCGTAGCTAGCAGTGGAATCCAGGATGCGCATTTCGTCCTATTTGGGACTCGTCAGCTGGATGTACCCCCTGAGTCCGAACCCCGGTGGGAAAAACATCACTCACTGGGAAGCAGGTACGTCCAGCTGACGAGTCCCAAATAGGACGAAATGAGCATCCTGGATTCCACTGCTAGCCACGATCCAACCTTAACAGAACAACTATGATTCACATTCAATCAGTAGATCTTTTAGAGACAAAAAAAGACAACTATGGGAAGGAAACATAGAAAACAAATGAAGAAGCATCAGAAATTGAAGGAAAATTAATCCTGAATGTAAGTTTTTTCCAGTTTAACAACACTTCCTGTGATTGTTCTATAACTAATTACATCTGTCCTCAACAACCTTTGGTTTTGACAGTATTAGCTACATGTAGCCTATCAGCCATGCCCAGGTGAATGCACTAGTTAACGAACCGCACAGTGTGTTTGTGTGTGTGTATGACAGAGAAAGGGCTAGTGATATCACTCGGCTACTTGAACCTCAACAAGCAAAGCGAGGTTTAGACCATGACTCAAAGCTTCACAGCCTGCGTGTCTAAACATGAAGAAATAATAACATACAAGTGAAACTGTTTGACAATGAATAAAATGTAGAAACCAAAACAATGAGTGTAGGTAAGTTATTTACATCTACACAACTGGCATGTAACCTGCAACCAAGAGATAGTGAAACGTCTGAAATTTTTTTTTCAACTTCACTGAGATGTTTAAAAATAGATTTCATTTAAGCGGATACTTTTATAATGATAAAGCAAATATTTAAGTCGACTGAGAAACTGAAACACTATTGCTTTTCGATTACTAACAGTAGTCAGCTCAGCATTTTGACTAAAATTGTAAATTTAAACTAGTGAGTTATAACAGTTTCGTCATACTTGCTGGTGTTAGTCGCGTCGATAGTATAACTGTTGATAAACCTCAAGATAGGGAAAAAAGCTGCTCACTGCTATCTAGATTTTGAAAAAAACCATCGAGAGTCAACAACTCTTCGTCTTGATTACAAAAAAGACTGAAACATGAATTTTCATGCATGGCTGACTGACAACTGACAAAATTCACATAAAACCTGGCACACAGGTACACCAACTCAAGTTGTCATACTTCATAGCAGTACACAAAAAACAGGTGGATAGAAAAAGTAGACAAAGTTGTATGAGAGAATAATCAATAAGAAAATAACGTTTAGTGCAAATATTCACGCTTAAGATGTCAAGGAGTGAATACATATGCGCCATTGTGACCGATTTCCACCCATATCACCAGGAGTCATCAATCACTGACTCCTTCCGTCTTAGGGACCCGAACCGGGCGGTCTGCATCTCCTCGAACGGCTCAGATCTACAGATTAAGAAGTCTTAAACTGGTGCCACATCTTGATCTGGCCACTATGAACCCTCTTACGCGCCTAATCCAACTTCCTCTGACATTGGACGTCGAGGTAGGTGGAAGCTCGAACAGCGCAGTACATGTCCAAGCTATCTCAGTCGACTAAGTTTTACGATCTCATCAGTTGACTTGCATTTCTTGACTACTACCCTTCGCATAACTTCGACATTACTCACACAGTGATTCCACTAAGCGCGAGTAGTGCTACGAAGACATCTGTGATCAAAACCCTGTAATCGTTCCATGTCTTCTACTTTTAACAGCCGTCTCATAGTCGTATAAGAGAATAGAAAGGACTACAGCACAGTATACTGATCCTTTGACAGGTAGTCGGATATCTCGCCAGCCGGCACCACAGATGACGCAAGTTGGCAAGTGAGATTTAGTCAGCAACCAGCCTGTTTGGGCTAATGAAACTTTCCAAGTAAGTCGAGTGGTCTACATATTCCACCATTTCACTGCCTATCATCAAACAGGGAGTACTTGTAGCAGACCAGTCCTGGAGGATCAACTTACATTTGACAGGTGTGAGAGGCATGCCAAACATACTCCGATTTCTGTTTAACGCATTGAGAAGACTCTACCTGCATTTTTTCAGCCTCTTCAACCAGCAGGGCAATATCGTCTGGATACTACAAGTGAATCAGATAACCTCCAGGGAATAAATCAATCCCTATAAGGTCAGACGTACCTAAGTTTACGTCTATCAGTGCATCAATAAAGAAGTTAAGTAGCGGGCATCTCTGTCAGACACCACTAGTTGTCATCATTTCAAATGACAACTCTCCATAACCCGATACACAGCTTAAAACAACATTCAAGGAGAATACGGGTTGGTCTTCCTACTTTTGCAAAAGTAGCTAACCTTATACAGGGTATGACAATCTAATGATTTACCCATATAACTATTTATCATCAGTGATCAGTGATTGTTAAACAAGCCACCCATATTACTCTCTGAAGCATAAGAAGTAATAGACAGTTAATGGGTGTCAAGTAAAATATTTGTTCTTATGTTATCAAGATAGCGAAATGGGACTGTCAGTACTACCGTAAATTTACACACATACATTCATCAGTATTTAAATGAACAGTATGTACTTACCGAATTATTCCAAACTGATCAAAATATCCCCCACGGCCTTCAGTTCCAAAAGGCTCCTTAAATGATATTGTAATATTGTCAATATTTTCACGATTCCATAATGGGCTAAAGACTTGATTACAGAATCTGAAATTATCAAGTAAATATGGAATATAGATAGCGTAATTAGAAGACGAAGTTTACCTGAGCAATGTGATGTATTTGCGCAATATGGAATAAACATATTATTATACGCCAATATAATCAACCAAACACTTAGTAAGTTCCATACTGATGATTTTCCAATACTATGGAATACCACAAACTATTATCAACCTCATTCAACAACTATATGAAGACGCCACATGACAAGTAATTCACAATGACAAGCTCAGTGATGCCTTTCGAGTGAAGACGGGAGTGAAACAATGCTGCCTACTATCACCCATGATGTTCCTGATTGTGGTCGACTAGACTAGATCATGCAACAAACAGTGAGGAGTGAGAAGAGTGGGGTGCAATGGCTGGACCGAGGAAGACATCATAGAAGATTTGGATTTCCCCAGTGATGACTTGTGTCTCATGTCACACAAACTTGAAGATCTACAGGTCAAAACTAACAGGTTGACAGAAGAGGTGAGATGAGGTGAGGCGAGGCAACGAAGACGGGACTTCAAGTGAACGTGGAGAAGACGGAGGTGATGAAGATACCCAACCAATACCACCATCACCAACAACAACAAGCTCCAATCACCATCAATAGGAGAAACTTAAAGGAAGTAGTCTCTTCCACTTATCTAGGCAGCGCTGTTTCAACAACAGGCGGCGGCACAGATGTGGACGTCAAAGCCAGTCAGCCAGGATCGGAGAAATAGGACAGGCTTTCATTAACCTGAAACCAGTGTCGAGATCTTCTGCACTGCACTCAGCATGTGGAACAACATCCGTATCTTCAACACTAACGTCAAGTCAGTGCTGCTATATAGTTCAGAGACTTGACGGCGCGTTACGAAAAGCATTTCCAACAAACTACAAACATTCATCAACAACTGACTACGCTGGCTCGTTACTGAAGATCAGATGGATTGCCAGAATAATAAGAATAAGCAACAAGGAACTCACTCTGGCTGGTAACGAACCAACCAACAACCTATCGCCCAATAAATATGCAGAAGAAAGTGGAGATGGATTGGATTGAGCATGCACTGAGAAGACCATTCGGGGACACCACACATCAGGCCAGGCCGTCGAGTGGAATCCAAAGACGAAACGATGAGTTGGGAATCCCAACTGAGGGTGACATGGAGGAGATTGTGTGAGGATGAAATGAAACCTTGTGGGCAGTGGTGGAGGCAGGTTGAAAAGATTGGAGGGAAGAGAGTGAAATGGAGACGTGGTAGTGAAGCCCTATGTTCCACTAAGAACCCAAGGGACAAATAATAATAATATAATAATATGATTGCATTTGACTCTCAATTCCTTACTAGTACGTTACCTTCACAAACTGTATGCCTTCCCTCAACTTTCTATGCGCAAAGGTGTTTTAAGTGAGATAAAACCGTACGCTAGATACACTATTTCCAAATCTTTTTTCTAGTGATTATGATCATAAAAATCGATTGAATCATTACAACATCTGCTCTAGATTTTATTCATAGAAAAATACTTATAGGTGATATAGTGGTATATATTTTTAACATTCCAGTTTTTTGCATCTCTGAAATACAGAATCTAAGTAGTAGTTAGTAGGTAAGCATTTGAAGTTAACCATAAAATAGTAACCTGACCTTGGTAGTAGAGAGAAAAACGTAGACTAGAAACTGCCAGAGAGGGTGAAAAGGCAACCATAGACTTTTTGGTAGAAATTTATTGGGTGACTGATAACCTTCATATTATCATCCATTGCCTACTCGTTTTTTGAAGGTCATATTGCCCCAGTGGTCTAGTGGATAACACTTTGGCGTATGAAATACTGGATACCGGGCTTTTAGTCCCCATAGGAAACAACATCACTCACTGGGGTGCAGGTACATTCAGCTGAAAAGTCCCAAATAGGAAGAAATGCACGTCCTAGATTCCATCACCAAGACGAGTAAAACATATTACAACAAATAACGTATGTTGTTCATTAGTTACCATTGGAGCGTAACTCCGAATATTGCTCTGCTGTACTGTTGAACTTTTCGGTAAAAAAAATCTAAAAACGGTGACTCATCCGAACAGCTTCAAGCTAGAGTTTGTCAACCAAAGCACTACAGTTTTTACACAAATGGTGATAGAAATAAAATTAATCTTAGCAAACGCCAATGCCAACTAGAAAGTCTAACGTCCTCCAAAATGATGTGCAGTAATAAGACTTTGGGACTACTACCTTGGAGTTTATCGAACTCTACTACTCCAAGTAAAGCGCTTAATTGTAGGAACTTCATGCGATTTGTAATTAAAACTATATGTAAGTTGGGATAATAACATTTTAATTTGTTATAGGGTGCAGAAAGATTGCCCAGATCCTCTTAAGAAGCCCTGAAACTTTTTTACAAAGAATCATTTCCCTGCAAAGTTTCCAGAAAAAGCATGTGAACCAATGTGTAAATACCAGATTGATTGTAGAGACAAAACTCAATAAGATATTCTAATTCAGGAAGGTCTGGAAATAGCCAAGGTCATTGCAAATATATATAAACCGCTGTATTTTGTAAATATTTTGACATTGCAATATACCCTCTGTTATCTTACCGTCTCCTCTAGTTACTGAGGAACTGGGTGACCATCAAGGGTGAAATCTGAAGTTTATCGCCCACTAGCATATATATATATATATAACAAGTGACCACAAGGTATGACATAACTGTAGAAGTGTTCCCGAATTTAAACCGTTGTCGTTGCAAATGTAATCTGAAAATTGTGTTTTATTTATGAGACGTCTAACATTATCGAAGGGTATTATTGACACTTATTACAATGATTCTCTTGCCTAATTTTGTCCATAAGTCACTCACATCATTAATGTACAGTTTTTTTTTGTTAACATTTTCATTAAGATCTGCATAGTGAACACCTTAACAGGAGAACAAGCCTTATCAAAGAAAGAAGGGGTATAAAAGTCACTGCATGCTTACGTAACATCGCATGTACTCAGTGACTCTCTGCGCAGTAGGTAATGAGTCCCAAATATTGTCTAATCAAACTGCGGTAGGTGGAGCGGTGTTCGGATCCGCGACCCACTGATTGAAAGTCAACTCATCAAACCAATATGCTCCATTAATATATATGCGTTATCCATCTGTGTGTTAGAGTTGTTGCTTGTTGATGCTTAATCATTCAACCGTTAACTACTGAGTCCAATATTCAAAACTCTCTTTAGTCGACGTATTTTGGGTAGCCGTAGTTCAGTAGGATAGTGTAACTATGTAAGACGATGCATATCTCCATTTTATATGACAACAGAAAGAAAGTACTACGTAATCAAATCGAGATTTGAACCTGTTTAGTATTCGACTTTTAAAGAACAGGCGGTGGGGCGTATACACTGTGATGTGAAAACCGTCAACTCAAGTCATACTAAGACTCTGACTTTAATCATCGTCCACCCCATCCACCTACCCCTGTATACGACATCTTAAAGAGAATCCTAAATAGTATTTAGAGATGTTTGATATCTTCAACACTACTCAATGGGATGTATAACTCCTAGGATGTTTTATAAGGAGAGGTAGAACGATATTTTTGGTCACTTACTTCGTAAATTGTTGTGTCGTAACACTTTATTCTTAAACTTTGCATTTGATCACTATTGGCTTACTAAACTGTATGCTTGCTTCTATCTTCCAGTTACTAGCCAGCGAAACAGTTATATTTCTTTTGTGCCTCATCACATTTTAGTAATGTATTGATTTTTCCTAATTTAACATCAAAAATTGACAGATCATCATCGTCATCAATATCAACATAGGACCAGGCATTAGTGAGTAACACTCCGAGTTGCCACACCTCATCTCATATCAGTACATCAAGTAAAAAGGCAGTGAAGTGGAAGATGAAGATAAGAAAACTCAGTCAAACGAAATATAAAGTACGAGAAGAAAGAAAGTAAGAATGACAAAATGGTGGGAATCGGTATAGTGTCGAGATGAGGATAATGTGTGTATACATCTGCGCCATAGACATCGGTTCTCAGCCATATCACCTACAGTCTCCAACCACTGGTTCTTCTCGTCCCGCGAACCCCAACCACCTAGTCTGCATCGCCCCACATGACTCAAACCAATAGTCAGATAGTTGTTTATTATTCACTACCAGTTAGTCAATGAATAAATAAAATCATAAATGTACCAATAATAATAAGGAAAAAAACAGTATAACTCTACCGTAAAATGAGTAAATTTTGCACCATTTCTTTGCCCAAATAATGATCGATTCGATAAATCTGTTCTTCTGTAAAAAGTGAAGCTAACTCAGAATTCAATTCATTAAACGATTTTAAATCTTGACCAAAAGGTTTTTCAATGATTAAACGAGTCCATGTTCCAGAGCTATAAAAATTAAACATTTAAAATAAAACTAATCAAGGTGAAACAATAGCAGTAAAAAGAATAACTTTTATATTTTCAAAGTAGATTTGGATAGAAAGTTTACACTAATAACACTGACAATTTTACAAAGGTTATGGATTTGAAAATAGCACTCAATAGGAACCAACACATATTTGTCCATTGTGTGTCGATATTTCCGCACTGGTGATCATCAGTTGTACCGTGTTTCTTCCACTCCTTCCCACCAATTTTCATCCCATTAGATAGTTGATAGGTGATCTGTATCTGACACCAGTTATCAGAACATGCTGATGTAGACACTCGTGGAGGCCTGCCTCTTGGTGAATTTCTCCTATTTCTGAACAGCAAGCGCTTGACGCTCGTACGATTTTGAGATGGCCAATATTTGTAGCTCAGGAGGATAATTTTGACGACGTTGTGTTCACTTAACCAGATAGTCTAACCGAAAAGTGTTCGCCAACTGTTTCAGAAGACAGTCAAGTTATGTTATGATGAATGTATTGGGATCTAGGGAGTGACAGTCGGTAATTTGTCTGAAAAGACGAACAGTGGCGAATTCTTCATATGAAATAATATCGTGGTCAAAAATGATACAAGTATGAATATCTCAGGATCTGGTAAAACACCTAACAAATTGAAGTTGCCTCATTTTTTGTCCGTATATCAAGGGAGAAGGCAACAAGGCAGAAGAAGAAAATGAAAATAACAAGATTATTCGGCGATAGAAGGAACGAAGAGATAGGATTCAATTTTCAAGATTCAAACGAAGATATGTTACTAGTAGATCAGTCAAGCTGTCATTAGTTCTTGGTCATATCATGACATAGATTGTCTGATGGGCACTAACCAAGAAGCCTACATACACTTCACATGACCAACATCAATAAAAGGGGACTTCATATGCTAGTGCTACATTAAAGACTGGTAAACCCAGAATTTCTTCAATCTAATACTACTCTAACCAACATACTGCAACGAAAAGTACAGTTGTTAAGCATGCGTAATGCACATACTAATCACTTCAACTGACTTTTCGCATTTACCGACGTATAAAGTTTGGATTGCTCATACAGTGTTTTCACCATATAAGGGAGGCAAATACATGCAGTCTTGCACTTCTACGCAGTACACTCCTTCACTAGACATTCCGACATTTCGCTATTGTCGCAGGTGAGAATTATTCATGAAATACAGCTGAATGATTACCATTTATGACAAACTTCATCAGTCGTCAACCCAACTTAATGCAACTTTTACAACAAATAGATTTGTTAGAGTGCTGAAATGTTCGGCTGTTTCTGTGTCCAAGATCCCAATAAGCTCGCATAATATCCCGTAATGAAGTACTGATAGTGGGTTTTTCCTAGGCACTCCATGGTATTGGTATCCGCTTACACTGATATATCGCCTTGTACAGATCACGACTTACTTTCAAAGAGAATTAGATTCCAATATTTCACCACCCAACCTCGCCTGGTTAACTAGTTAACTAGTTAGTAGCCTGTCCTAAGCCCGGGTAAACAGGGAAGGTTGGGCAAAGGGCTACCAACCCTAACCCGTAAAACAAATCTAACCGCTAAAGAAACTTCACAGAACAAACGATATATAAAAAATAAAAACAAAATTATTCCTCACCGAAATCGGAGAGGGAAATGACGCCAGTTGGTGAAAGCCTTCGGGAGGCCAATTGGCTGATGTGTCTTCTCTTCTCTCGATGAAAGCGAAAGTAAACATAACGACATGGAATGTCCGCACGATGTTTGAACCTAGCAAGGCAGCCCAGATTGCAATGGAGACGACAAGGTATCACATCGAAGTGCTTGGGATTTGCGAAAGCAGATGGAATGGAAGTGGACCCTCCTAACTGTCAACTGGAGAGTCAATAATCTACTCCTATATTGTCAACCAGATGACAACCACGAGCGCACTGAGGGAGTGGCTATCATGATATCCACAAGAGCATCGAAGGCTCTCATGCAGTGGGAACCAATCTCCTCCTGCAGGATCATGACAGCAAGGTTCAACTCAAAAGGAAGAAAATCACAATCATACATTGCTACGCTATGCACCTAAAAATAATGCAGATGAAGATAAGAAGGAGGAATTCTACAGACAACTTCAATCAACACTGGACAAGACCCCACTTCAGTTGGCGATATCAAAATCCATTCTAATGGATGATATGAATGACAAACTGGGGGCGGAAAACACAGGAAGAGAATAAACCATGGGCCGGAAAGCGCTAGGTGAAGTGAATGAGAATGGAGAATTGTTTGCAGAATTCTGTGCATTCAACGGTTAGATGATTGGAGGCAGTGTGTACAAGCACAAGGATATCCACAAAGGAACATGGATTTCACCAGACACCAGGACACACTAAAAATCAGATCGACTTTATCTCAATCTCAAGAAAATGGAGACGCAGTCTACTGAACACAAGGTCAAGAAGAGGAGCAGATGTAGGCTCAGACCACTATCTATTGCGGGGAACCTACCTTCCAAATCAATTTGAAAGCCTTCAAGAAAGCTGGTGATAGACCACCGTCCAAGTACAACACTCGGAAACTGAAGGATGAAACTACAAAGGAAATCTTCACGGCAGCCATCAAGACAAAATGGGAGATATCGAGCAACAACCCTGAAGAAACCTGTGTGGAAGAACAATGGAAGTCTTTGAAAGAGATGTAGAAAGAAACCTGCATAACCGTACTAGGAAGGAAGAAGAAAGAAGACAAGGAATGGATCTCGACGGACACATGGAAGCTGACAGAGGAGGGAGAGGAGGATGGTGAAGCAAAAGATGAACGAGTGCAAGGATGCACAACGAGAAGAGGAACTGAGTACAATGTATGAAACACCAGACAAAGAAGTGAAGAGTGCGCGGAAAGACAAAAGACACTTCTACGACACACTGGCAAGTGAAGCAGAACAGGCTGCTGGTAGGAGCAAGAGAGACCTGACAACACTGTATCAAATAACCAGGTTACTATCTGGGAAGAGATCAACGCAGACGAAGCCAATAAAAGATAATGACGGAAACCTAATTACCAAAGAAGAGAAACAAAGGAAACGATGGTCTGACCACTTCAAAAAACTCTTGAATCGACCACCACCCACACCTGCACTTCGTCTAGAAATACCACCTACAGCCAGCGAACTAACAGTGAACACAAGTCCTCCAACAAAGGTCGAAGTCCTGGGCACCATAAAGCTACTGAAATGTGGGAAAGCAGCAGGACTATATGGAATCCCGCCAGAAGCACTGAGAACAGACACAGAGACAACGGCGGACATGCTCACACCACTACTGCAGAAGGTTTGGAAGGAAGGGAAGGTACTTGAAGATTGGAAGCAGGGTTACTTTGTCGAACTCCCAAAGAAGGGAGACCTCAGTGTTTGCAAGAACTGGCGCGGAATCACTCTCCTGTCCACTCCAAGCAAAATATTAAGCCGCATCATCCTGGAGAGGCTAAAGGATGCACTGGATTCAAAACTGCGACCAGAACAGGCTGGATTTAGGAAGTACAAACCATGTGCGGACCAAATTGCAACATTACGATACGCATCACCATACAACAGAGTCTAAAAAGGCAGTCAACTCTCTACCTCAACTTTATCGACTTTGAGAAGGCCTTCAACAACATCGACCGAGAAGTAACGTGGTAACTGCTTCAACACTATGGAATTCCATGAACCTTTATCCGCCTCATTCAACAACTATATGAAGACGCCACATGACAAGTAATTCACAATGACAAGCTCAGTGATGCCTTTGAAGTGAAGACAGGAGTGAAACAATGCTGCCTACTATCACCCATAATATTCCTGATAGTGGTCGACTAGACTAGATCATGCAACAAACAGTGAGGAGTGAGAAGAGTGGGGTACAATGGCTGCAACGAGGAAAACATCATAGAAGATTTGGATTTCCCCAGTGATGACTTGTGTCTCATGTCACACAAACTTGAAGATCTACAGGTGAAAACTAACAGGTTGACAGAAGAGGTGAGGTGAGGCGAGGCGAGGCGAGGCGAGGCAACGAAGACGGGACTTCAAGTGAACGTGGAGAAGACAGAGGTGATGAAGATACCCAACCAACACCACAATCACCAACAACAACAACAAGCTCCAATCACCATCAATAGGAGAAACTTAAAGGAAGTAGTCTCTTCCACTTATCTAGGCAGCACTGTTTCAACAACAGGCGGCGGCACAGATGTGGACGTCAAAGCCAGTCAGCCAGGATCGGAGAAATAGGACAGGCTTTCATTAACCTGAAACCAGTGTCGAGATCTTCTGCACTGCACTCAGCATGTGGAACAACATCCGTATCTTCAACACTAACGTCAAGTCAGTGCTGCTATATAGTTCAGAGACTTGACGGCGCGTTACAAAAAGCATTTCCAACAAACTACAAACATTCATCAACAACTGACTACGCTGGCTCGTTACTGAAGATCAGATGGATTGCCAGAATAATAAGAATAAGCAACAAGGAACTCACTCTGGCTGTCAACGAACCAACCAACAACCTATCGCTCAACAAATATGCAGTGGAAGGGCGTGGAGATGGATTGGGCATACACTGAGAAGGCCGACCGGGGACATCACGCGCCAGTTCAGGAACTGTAGTGGAACCCATATGGGAAGCAACGAGATGGGTGTCCGGGGCGAGGGGGGCATGGAGGAGATCGTGAGAGGAGGAAATGAGAGCTTCTGGGCAGTCGTGGAGCTAGGTTCGAAAGATTTCAGAGAACAGAGCGCATTGGAGATGTGGTAGTGAAGCCCTATGTTCCATTAGGACCTCAAGGGACAAATAATGTAATAATAATAAATGTCACCACCCATGTTTTACATGGCGTCTATCATTTACGTGGAGTAGAATAAATTATATCGCAGTCACTTACACTTTGGTAGACAAATAGACAGATCAAAACAAAGTTCCCCAAAACATGTAGTGATTTCAGTTGCCATAGTTATAAAGCCACAAAAGGAAATAGGAAAAAAACAATAGTTTTGAAAGGTCCATGGAAGACAAAGAATAGGAGGAAGAATGAGTAAGCAGAAATTAGCAAGATGTCCACATTTTTGAAGGCAATAAAGAGGAAACAGGATGATGATCGGTTTTTGAGCCATGTCAGTAAGAATTTTCAACTATTGTTCTAGCTTTGTAGCCTACAACAGATGTCAACCTGACAGGTAAATTCCAAGCCATAAAAGAAAAGGTTCAGCCCTAAATAAATATCCGTTTAGTTGAAGTTAAGGTATCAACTTTTGTGTTGATTACTACTGATTACTAGGTAATTAGTAATCTTTTTAAGTTCCTTCCAAGTAGCCAATCTAAGAGTAAAGATTTACTATGCTCATTCATAAAAGTGAATTTAAAGTGACAAGTATGTGTATGCCCAAGTTTTGAAAAGGCTCTTAAGATAACAAATGCACCATTCACATATATTATGACCAAATACATGAATATATATAGCTGGTGTTCATAATATGATTCATATTCTTAGTATTATGGCTTGAACAGACTTCGTGTTTCAGAAGACTAGTTTCAAAGAGATCATGAAGCATGAGAAACTTACCTTTCAACTTCACTAGATTTCAGGAAATATCTCTTACCATTATAAGCTATTAACAGAATTCTTAAGTCCATATGACTTTATCAAACTAGATCTAGGCAATAGCATAAAAACACCTGGTAACAGTCAGTTTACAACGAAGCAGTTAACTTTACCATGATGCAAAGGTCGAATAATAAAGGCAGTAATAATAATATTAATAAGACTGGCCTATTAAAGTCGATCCAACTTCGAGACACGTATCACACTTACAACTATGTATAACAAGGTGATGATCAATAGTGATTAGTGGTGGAATCCAAAGTGCGCGTTTCGTCCTATCCCGGACTCGACAGATGGGTGTGCCTATCTCCCGGTGAATTATCTTGTTCTCCCCCCACCCCCCAAAGACTCGAACCAAGGGCCGATCGTTTCAAACGCCAGAGCATTATCCACTAGGCCATAGAGTTACGATAACCACCTCTAGTGCAACGGGCATCGTTTATATATGACGACTCCCAAATAGGACGAAACGCGCGTCCTGGATCCAACTACTAGTCAATATACGTCATTAGCAGCAAAATTGAAACTATGGGGAATATCGAGGCACCCGCGCGGGAGCTACGGGGAATTACAAGCAATAATATATGTATAAAAAAGTTTGGAGAAATGTCATCTACGGTTTCTGCTAACATTACCAAAACAAAAATAGCGTAACTTCTATAAAACAAGCAACATTTGATATAGGTGCCCTACAGAATTAGCACTTTTCTGTTATTTATACCAGGATAAGTCAACTAAGACAATGGTAAAGTACATTTTATACAAAACTTTTGAAATATACATTCCATAAGTTGTTCTATTTTAGTCTGTTTATTAGAAATATCACATAGTGAAACAGTAGCGTTTACTGGTTAACGTTTCGGACACAATTTATTGTCCATATTCATATATCAGGTAACTCCACAACTTCGAGACAGTCTTTACATATTCCTAGTTTTCTCTCCTTCTCTGTGATGATAAGGGTAGTAGAATTTTCTATATATCTGGTACAGGTGCAGAATCATTTCGATTGTATGTGTTTGGTGTTGATTCGATAAACAAAGGTTCAGTCGGTTATCAATCTCTACCTTCACCCAGCTAAGTTAGTTTTCATTCCATAGCTTAATGAATGATGCTTTGGAGCCTAGTGTGATGAATGTAGGCAGCAATCTAGAGGGCGAATAACAACAATCAATAAATTGTAGATAATTCAACATAATAGGTTCTAAATTGAACAATAAGTACTGGGTGAACTTCGTTGTTAGTTCTCATCCAACCCAGTACTTTCAAAATTAACACTAGCAGCATGAATAGCCTAGAAGCAGCCAATCATTTTAATCCAATGCATCAATATTAGAAGTTATCAACCATTAACTCACTTATATTCTAATAGGTGTTAATCAACAGTTTACTTGAAATATCAACTAGAAATAAACATACACTACTTAGTTGTGTACGAACGTAATCCGAAGACAAGTAATAAGGAATTCGACTGAGAATAAAGCTTATTGTTTAAGTTGACCACCGAGAGTGTATAAATACAGGCTAATCATGCTACACCGTCTTAGACTGTTATTCATAAGAATATAACATCGCTCACTGAAAGGCAGGTACGTCCAGTTGATGAGTCCCAAAAAAGACGAAATGTGCGTTCTAGATTCCACTGCTAGCCATTCATTATCCATCATTCGTAAAGAACATAAAGTTTAATTTAGGATAATAATGTTTACCTTTTAGCCATACAATATTCTTTAATAGATACTGAAACAGGTTTGTATACGGATGGTGGTATAGCGTAGTAAAATATACGATTAACATCTTGTCCCCACTTATCTTCTATAAATCTATTCAATGCTTCAAATGTTACAGGATTTGTATAATCGCCTCTCACATAAGAATTACACTGCCAAAATTCTTCACATTTTTGACACGGAGATGAATGAAGCTGATAAAAATTAGTTAAAAGTTGTAAACAGCAATTAAAATATAATTCAATAGTAAATTAACTGATTGATTTTATATCAAAAACATTCACTTCATGAAATAATAAAGACTGAAATTCAATTTCCCCTCAATTAAAATCAAACACATAACTGTTATTGTGTTTATATTCCAAACTTCTATACAGTTCAGATTCTTGTTGTCTTTTTCATCGGTACATAGGTGACACCTGGTCTTATCATAAGCATAGTGGTCAACCAATAAATAAATCAGAATCTAATGAAGGAGATTTACTACATTTGAACAACGATAATTGATATAACGTAGTCTATAATTTTGAGGGAGTTGTGGAGATTTGGAATTATTTCAAGTTGTTATTCATCGTAGACTGACATCAGTTGGAGGAACAAAAAAAACCTGGGAGCACTGGACGGCTGTTTCGTCCTAGTATGGGACTCCTCAGCAGTGCGCACCCAAGACCCCGCCCCCCAAGGATCGAACCCGCGACCTTCAGGTTCCGTGGCCAGCGCGTTACCATTGAGCCACTGGGTCAGAATCCAATGCTCCATATTTCCAACTTCTGTTAGCTCACGATGTATAGCGCAACCGTCACCCAATGTCATCGCTGAGTATTTGTCCTCATGGCCATCAGGCTTTGACTCCACCGGTCACGACTTCTCATTGGAACTTTGAGAATACTTCTCGAAGCTAGTCACCAATGAGCACCAGTTCAATTAAATTCTGAGGGAGTTGTGGAGGTTTGGAATTATTTCAAGTTAGTGAGCTAACAGAAGTTGGAAATATGGAGCATTGGATTGTGGCCCAGTGGCTCAATGGTAACGCGCTGGCCGCGGGACCTGAAGGTCGCGGGTTCGATCCCTGCTGGTGGGCTCGTGGGTGCTCACCGCTGAGAAGTCCTATACTAGAACGAAACAGCTGTCCAGTGCTCCCAGGTTTCCTTTGTTCCTCCAACTGATGTCAGTCTACGATGAGTAGTCTATAATATCTAATATTTCTAACTTTGTATTTGTTCGGGTTTACTTTATTCGAAACTGATCAAGGTGGTATACATATTTTAGCGTATAATAGTCAGGATTAGGAAGCACTGTACCTAGGTTTCATACTTCTTCACACTCACCAGCGTAGGATATAATGCACCTGGAAGGATATCAAGCTGCCTAAGGGTTACTCATTGTTAAAGTCACATTTGATGACTGCTTGAAACCGAATAAATTGTCATAATATGAAATTTGCTGTAGTGGATGTGACAGTAGCTTCCCATTCATTGAGTATAATTTGCCAGTATCCCACTGAACTTACTGTGGACTATATATCTAATGACCAGTTAATGTGAATCATATCCAATTATACCTTTATATACGACCATTTCATTTCATTTATAAATTTCGAACTACTGAGTCTAACCGCACAGCTACTTAACCAATTTCCTAATCATTTTCTGTTCATTCAGTTAGTTTGTGCAGATAATCTTCATTTGATCGTAGTGAATCTGAAGTTGTCAGCTAAGAATCCATCTTGGTTACTCAGTCTAGAGTACAATTAGATCGACAAGTCACTGATACAAAAAAAATCCTGAATTCGACCAATATAAACTAATGACTACTGAGGGTTAAACATCGTGGCATTGAATACTGTATAGCAATCAATTTTTGTAAAAAAATAAATTCAACTGTTTCGTTGTACATAAACAAATAATATTAGCATAGTTCAAATATAACAGACACAATGAAGAAAGTTCTCGACAAATAATGCAACGTAGTGCCTCCCCCTCCCCTCCATATTTAATATTCTAGACTACGAAGCACACTTATTGTATGATGGTTAATGATACAACTGTTGTTATCCACATCAAACTTGGTACTTACATTTCAACCTGCAGCTGGAAAGGGTCAACAATTGATCATCACTCAAAAGAACAATAGCCTGACTCATTAGAAAATATAGGTGACAAACATAACTGAAAATTTTTTAGAAGTAGTATTCATCATAAACTGACATCAGTTGGGGAATCATTGAAAATCTGGGAGCACTGGACAGCTGTTTCGTCCTAGTATGGGACTCCTCAGCAGTACGCACCCACGACCTGGCTAGGGGTCGAACTCAGGACCTACAGGTTTCACGTCGAACGCGTTAACCATTCAGCCACTGGTAACAAGTGAAATCCATACGGAAAAATATTACACCAAAAAAAATATATTACCAATACTCATAAAAATAAAGCACAGTCACGTAGAGAAACCCCATTATTTAAGCGCTTAAGAAGATTTAAAATATAACTCTTTAAGCCAGATTATATGATACATGGTTTTAAGAACTAAGTACTTACTAAGCTCACAGAGCATATATCAAAGCAAAAAAAAAACATTTATCAACAGGTTTTCATTGAATAGAAGTAATAGTATATGTGCCATTTCATACAGATTCATTGACGATATGAATTCAACAGGATGTAACTGACATCATTTTTAACCTATGCCTTCAAAGTTTCTAGAGCTTTCACTCTTATCAAGTCAATTTTCGGTTTAGGTAACAGCTTTATATCAGTGAAACTGTACAATAAATAATTTTTTATATTGTATTTTTGAGATGAATGGGGATTTTTTAATTTAGAAGTAGTATTCATCATGGACTGACATCAGTTGGGGAACCATTGAAAATCTGGAAGCACTGGACAGTGCTTATTAGTGACTTGCTTCCAGGTAGATGTCAGGAAGTTCTAATGAGAAGCCGTGACCTGTGGGGTCAACCAGTCGGAAGTGAAGTGGATGCTAACTGAAGACCTTGGGTGACAGTCGCGCTATGTCGTGAATTGACAGAAGTTGGGAAGTGTGAACCACTGGAAACCGACCCAGTGGCTGAATGGTTAACGCGTTCGACGTGAAACCTGAAGGTCCTGAGTTTGACCCCTAGCCAGGTAGTGGGTGCTTACTGCTGAGGAGTCCCATACTAGGACGAAACAGCTGTCCAGTGCTCCCAGATTTTCAATGGTTCTTCAACTGATGTCAGTTTATGATGAATACTACTTCTAAATTTCATATATTATTTGTCCATTGGGTTCCTAGTGGAACATAGGGCTTCACTACCACTTCTCCATTTCACTCTCTTCTCTCCAATCTTTTCAACCTGCCTTCACCACTGCCCACAACCCTTCATTTCATCCTCACACAATCTCCTCCATGTCACCCTCACCTCGGACGCCCAACTCATCGTTTCGTCTTTGGATTCCACTCGACGGCCTGGCCTGACGTGTGATGTCCCCGAATGGTCTTCTCAGTGCATGCCCAATCCATCTCCACTTTCTTTTGTATATTTGCTAGGCGATTGGTTCTTGGTTGGTTCTTACTATTCTGACCATCTGATCTTCAGTAACGAGCCAGCGTAGTCAGTTGTTGATGAATGTCTGTAGTTTGTTGGAAAAGCTTTTCATAACGCGCCAAGTTTCTGAACCATATGGAAGCACTGACTTGATATGCTTCTATTTACGGTAGTATAACTATCTTGGGTTGCGTTTTACTTCTGACCTTTGTTGGTCGTCCCATATTTTATTGACTTGTAAAAAAATCTTTCGTTTGACTTATTACGTAAAGAAATTGAAGCTTTCTGGTATAACTCAACTACTTCTTTTACAATTTATTAATTCCTGCATTTTACCTATTCCTCCTCTCTGTTGTTCCCCATTGATCTTTCCTGGTCTTCTTAAAAAGGACTATGTTATGTTGCATAGGGCTTTGAAGACCGTCAAACAGGGTGAGTGGTGTGTCTCTGGCTCAACTGATTAACACTGTAGTTGATCGACATATACATTCCTGCAAGCTACTAGCTACAGAAATGTTAACTGACACTGAGCATCCACTTCATTTACAGTCCTCTCCATGTATCTCCTCAGGGAGGACAAGGAGAAACTACATAAGACTGTATGCTCGTACAGCTAAGTACAGGAACCTGACGGTACCTTACCTTGCACGTATATTTTGTGAGGAAAAAAGTGTTAGAACAGAAATCACACATCAACTTTGTGACAGTTAAAATTCTCATTTCAATTACTTAACTTACAATGCAAAATTTTCTCGTTTTTAATATTTATCACATAACTTAAATTTTTATAATAAAACGATTCGAAAGGCTGCAAAGTAGTATGTATATACAGATATATTTTGTTGTTATTGCAATATACATTAAGCTGAGAATTCCAAATTGTACCAGGAATTGTTTGAAATAAAGTGAATTATTATGATTATTGTTATTATTATTATTATTAAAGATTAAACCAAACAAACACCAACTCGAAAACCATCGATAGTTCAAACAAAGAGCAAATAATGAGACACCAGTGAACAAAAATATATGATTAGCTAATTACTGAACCAAAACGTAATGCTGATAATTAATTTGGTTTACAGATCGCATGTATCTTCTATGATAGCAATCCTATGAAGTTGGTAAGTGTAGGGATACAGTTTGCCAATCATTTCTAATCTGGTAAAGTGAATAGGCGGATATTTCAAATTAACTTAGGCTAGGAATCAAATTCAAATACCTACCTTCCATAGACTCATCTACCAACTGATACTTATAAAATGAATGCCTAATAAATGCCGTTGATGGATTCATACTAACCTACTCATTCGCTTTAACTATGCCAGAATGGAATAAAAGGAGTAAAGCGTTTCTCTAAAAATATGTTTTCTATCATCTCAAGAATACTGAATTGGTAATCCACACGCTTCTAATTTCAATCAAATTACAAAATTGGTTTCTTAAGTCTACTCATCATTCTCATATAAATAAATTCAGTTTGCTTATGAACAGTACTGTATTTGGTTTAAACAAAAGGATTTGTTAAGTTTACAATATGATGGAAAAAAAATTGAGTAAGTAGAAATGTGTTAACTCGACTTTACTGGACAGACCTTTTGCATGATACTCTCGAAATGAACACTGGTCTTTGTACCATTTCACAGGATGAGCTAATCGTAGACTAAG